TAGTAATCTTTACAGGAAAAGGGGTTACTAGCCCATTGTTCCCGGCATTTTAGTTGACTTTTACAACACGCATGGCTTACGGAGGAAAGATTCTTATTCCACTTCCCCATGGATATAAAAGGAAAAGTAATAAGACCAAGAAATATTAAGATAAAATCCAAGAAAACTCAGATGAGTGTGTATAAATAAACGTGTACATGTATGTGTAGTGTGACCTAAGTGTAAGTAGAAGTAGCAAGACATACCTGTAATCTTGCATATTTATGAGACAGACAAAAGACACCAGCAATCCTACCATCATGTAAAGCAATTACAGGCTTTCGTTTTACACTCACTTGGCAGGACGGTAGTACCTCCCTGGGTGGTTGCTGTCTACCAACCTACTACCTGTATTAATATGTCAAACACTGTAGCTCGTAAGACGTATATATACGACCGAAACAGTCTAAGGGTTAATGGTTAATATTCTTTTTGTTGTTATTAATAATATTTCTGGCAGAGTTGGGCACTTTCAGCAAACCACATCTATGACACGCAAGCAACCTTCTATTCTGGCTAGGCATTATTGTAATTTAAACAAGAAGTTGACTAGCCTGGATGTAGCCTACCTTTTTACCCAGGTCCTCATTGGCTAGGTCATATCTTTTCACTAAACTTCATCACTTCAGATCTGGACCATCCTCTTCCTACACAAGACTTTGTCAGTCTCATTTACATATGTTTCAGATTCAACCTTTTCTCTTTGGAAAACAATGGAAGTTAGATATGTCTTTGGGGTTACTACTCAGTGCTGTCATAGTTAACATTTATCTGGATCTTTTCTTTCTTTCTTTCAACACACCGGCCATATCCCACCAAGGCAGGGTGGCCCAAAAAGAAAAACGAAAGTTTCTCTTTTAAATTTAGTAATTTATACGGGAGAAGGGGTTACTAGCCCCTTGCTCCCGGCATTTTAGTCACCTCTTACAACACGCATGGCTTACGGAGGAAGAATTCTGTTCCACTTCCCCATGGAGAATTTATCTGGATCACTTACAGAAATACTGCTTCAAAGACATTATACCCCCAACACATCATGTGTCAGGGAATGATGTTTTCAATAGTGGACCCTCCCTTTTTGTCGATCTCCGTTATCACCAATTTCCATTTTCACCGAGTTTTTTTTTGTCAAAATGTTGGTTCCGTTTTCATCGATTTCCTCTGTTTTCACTGATAGTATGGAACCTCTCCATTGCCCAGCACGCACACAAAGCCACCCACACACATTCTGAGGCAGTGTCGCGTTGTTTCTTGGTGAGTGAACATATCCTACGAGGTCATACGAAACATTTCTTAATAATCCATTGTTTTTGGCACTTGTTTTTTTGTGTGTGACTGCTAAATAAGTCACCATGGGCCCAAAGAAAGCTCCTAGTGCCAGTCCTTTGGTAAAGAAAGTGAGGAACACAATAGAATTAAAGAAAGAAATCGTAGCAAAGTACCAAAGTGGAGGAGAAAGAGAGAGGGGAGAATGTGCCTTCTTCAGTGATTCAGCGATTCTGTGATATGTACGATATTAAAGCAGCACAAGTCGATGAAGGCTATAGCGCCAGCCAGCGATAAAGTGTAACAGCAGTGTAGCGAGTAAGTTAAGCGATTAATCGATAGAAAAAGGACAGCACGAACCTAACTCCTCCAATGTTGTTGGAGTTATATAGGGGTACTGACAACACCACCGCGTTTGCTGCTGCCCTCCTTCACCACCACTGTGTACGGCTTATGCTGTCAGTGGCCCTTATACACCCAACAACAGCAACACAACACCACTCGAGACATACATAATAACATATTTTATTCATTCTAGAGTAGATGTCATGTTTCTATGTTGTTAATATTTTTATTATGTCATATTAGATGAATTGTGATAGATAAGCCATAGAGTTGATATTAGTGTCATATTGAAACTTATTGTCCTATCTCCAACAATAAACTCGCCTCCCTCTCCCCTCCACCCCGTCTGCCATACACCAACAAGAGTCTTCAATAAAGGTAAGTGTGATGATAAATGCTCATTTATACATTTTATTAGTTCTTTATATTTATTTGCTATTCTTTTCTGCATGTAAATCTATATTTAAGCTAAAAAAAAATTTGTTAATACTTCTTTGTGTCTGAAACGGATTAATTGGATTTACATTATTTCTTATGGGGAAAACGGTTTCAGTTTTCGCCGCTCTATCTGGAACGGATTAATGACGAAAAGGGAGGGTCCACTGTAGTACCAAGTTTTCTTCAAATTCATAAATCAACTTACCTGGGTCGAACCTTCCATATAATTCACCTTGGGGTGACTTAATGCACTCACTATTGCCCCTCTTCTCAATAGAACTAACATGGACATAGCATTTCTCACCAAAACTTCCAACAACTTTGGCACAACAGAAGGGAGGGAAGGCAACAAATTCTGTATCAGTAAAACAGCCCAAAATTTGTACACACACTGTTAAGAACACGAGTAAGCATGTAGAATGGACAACAACAACATAGCCTGTGTGAGCCATCATAACGTGCATTCCTGATTCATGGATTTGGGAAAACACTGATATACATGTATATAACAACAATGGGACTGAACATAGATGCCTTGAAGCAGCTACTTTCTACCTTACTGAAACCACTGAACGAATCAGAGGAGTGTATGCATTAGCAAATCCTGTCATACATTATTTGGAATCAACTCATAAAACTTAAAATTCTTTGAACTGATGCCAAGATCTAGGCCCCTCCCACTCTTGGTATCACCTGACTTTTATTTCCACTGGCCTGACCATAGGTGGTGGTTTATATTATTTTTTCTTATTTCTCTGTACTTGATAAAGCCCCAACATTTGTGAAACATTCTATAATAAATGTTTTCAAAATTCTATAAGTGAATTGCCTCACATAGACACATTTTTAGAAGCGATTAATTTACAGTTATCATCTTTTGGTAATGTCATCTTTGCAGGAACTTTAAATGATACATACAGGCATACATCGTTAATAAGGCACTTTGCTATAATGAGGTACATGATGCCTGCACTGTACAATGCATTGTTCCAGCTGTGCACTCTGAAATCTTATCATTCCCTTATACTATTTGCACATTATGTAATTATTACAGTACATACGTAAATTCTAAAAACTTTTCAGTAGTGGTTACTTGCCCAGACTTGCACAACATAATTAGAGCACTTGTATTTTACAGATTTTTATCTTGGAATTATTTTAACTTTACTCTTTTCACATTATACAGTTTATTTCACCTTGACATACTGTACCGTGTATGTCCTGATCTCTTAATTGTTCCATCATTACACATGTAAAAAAATTTATCTTTTATTTTCTTTATACAGGTCGGCTGTCATTAATTCAGCAATCAGTTATCCGGTTCCATCAGTTATCCAGCACTAATTTTGGCTACCATAATTTCAAATTTCATCATTATATTGACTCAAATCATTACTGTATACTGACTCAGAAATAGTGCAGATGGTTGTAATTCCACAGCAGCAAGCCATTAGAGGAGAAAACAGTGATGAAACCGAGGAAGATGTAGCAGAAAGTCTCTCTGTTGATAGGTTAATTAACCCTTTGAGGGTCGACAGGCCCTCTCCGAAACTCGTTCTCAGGGTCGGCCAAATTTAAAAAAAAAAAATTATTTTCTCTTATGAAGAGATAGAGAATCTTTTCCCGATCATAAAGACACCAAAAGTTTGAAATTTGATAGAAAACTTACGGAATTATGGTCTCGCAAAGTTAGCGGTCTCGGCGATGTTCACGCATCGGCGATTTTGCCCACTTTGAGCCCCATTTTCGGCCAATTTCACTGTACTAGTCGACAAAAAACATGAATATTCGCTAGAACTCCATTTTTTTCTATCGAATGGGTGCAAGAAACCACCCATTTATGAAATTCAACTATCCAGTACAGTGGTCAAATTTAGCAATTTTGCAATTTCACACAAATTTCAAAAGATGCCAATTTCCGAATAGGGTCCAAAATAAACAAAAGACATTCCTGGCACTAAAATGACATTTCCTCTAGTCATTAGTCATGTCTCAAAGGGCCCCTCTTATATTCTTTTGCTTTCCACTTTGAATTTTTTATCTCACAAAAAATATAAGATTTATGTTATGCGACTACTGCATTAGTGTAAAAAATGGTATAATATTATTGTTGCACTTGTAGAAAGAATATTAGACTCGCCAGTTGACGTGTATTGCACGCTTGGCACGATTGTTTACTTTGAAGTTTGGTAAAAATCGAACATTTCTGCTACTTTGAGCTCAATTTCAAGGCACCTTTCATTGTAAAACCAGTCAAAATCATCTCAATTTCTTTAATATGTCTTCCATTCTATAACATGAGACCAATAAAACTAGAATACAACAATAAATACCATACGAAAATACACTGCAAAGTCGCTGATTTATTCCAAAAAAATGGTCAAAGTTTTTTTTTTCTCATTATGCACTGTGTGCTGCAGGATTTTTTTTAGACTGTGCACACTGACCACATAGACCCATTCTTTCATATGTAGGCCTACCAGCTTTCTCCCACTAGATTTGAGGCCGCTAGAATTTATGCGTACTAGTACGTCAAAAACCCCTATGCGTAAGACGTACTAGTCCGACCAAAACCCTCAAAGGGTTAAGCGTATTCTAACCTGACCACTCTGTAATCCGGCAAACTCACTAATCCAGGACACTACAGGTCCCAGTGATGCTGGATTAGTGATGGCTGACCTGTATATCACTTGAGTCCAGGATATTTAGAATGATTAATATTTATTTGATTTTCTTGTACAAATTTGAGCAGCTTGTGAAATCTATTTTTTACTGAGCTTCCTTCCCTGTACAACTCTTGTCACCTTTCAGATTCCCTTTCTTCATGTTGGTAATCCTGTATATATTATGTACTGTTTCATGTATACAATAAAGGATATCACAATATATGGGTAGTAATTTTATATTTTTAGGGACATTGTAGCAGTGGGACTGCCATCAGATGAAGAGACCAGATACGTGGTAGCCATAAGTAAGACTACTCAGGCAGATGTGCGCATTCTCTGTGTACATGTTGGTCCGGACAACAAGTGGTTGGTCGTAGAAACTGGACTTGGCCCTTCACTTTGGTAAGGTATTTAGAGTACGTAATTGTCAAAGTGGGAAGTCTGAATGTGCGTGGATGTTGTGCAAATGATAAGAAAGAGATGATTGTGGATGTTATGAATGAGAAGAAACTGGATGTCCTGGCTTTAAGTGAAACAAAGCTGAAGGGGGTGGGAGAGTTTCAATGGAGAGGAATAAATGGGATTAGGTCAGGGGTTTCAAATAGAGTTAGAGCTAAAGAAGGAGTAGCAATAATGTTGAAGGATAAGCTATGGCAGGAAAAGAGGGACTACAAATGCATAAATTCAAGGATTATGTGGAGTAAAATAAAGATTGGATGTGAAAAGTGGGTTATAGTAAGCGTGTATGCACCTGGAGAAGAAAGAAGTGTAGAGGAGAGAGAGAGATTCTGGGAAATGTTGAGTGAATGCATGGGGAGTTTTGAATCAAGTGTGAGAGTAATGGTGGTTTGGGGGATTTCAATGCTAAAGTGGGTAAAAATGTTATGGAGGGAGTAGTAGGTAAATTTGGGGTGCCAGGGGTAAATGTAAATGGGGAGCCTTTAATTGAGCTATGTGTAGAAAGAAATTTGGTAATAAGTAATACATATTTTAGAAAAAGAGGATAAATAAATATACAAGGTATGATGTAGCACGTAATGAAAGTAGTTTGTTAGATTATGTATTGGTGGATAAAAGGTTGATGGGTAGGCTCCAGGATGTACATGTTTATAGAGGGGCAACTGATATATCGGATCATTATTTAGTTGTAGCTACAGTTAGAGTAAGAGGTAGATGGGAAAGAGGAAGGTGGCAACAACAAGTAAGAGGGAGGTGAAAGTGTATAAACTAAGGGAGGAGGAAGTTCGGGTGAGATATAAGCGACTATTGGCAGAAAGGTGGGCTAGTGCAAAGATGAGTAGTGGGGGGGTTGAAGGGGGTTGGAATAGTTTTAAAAATGCAGTATTAGAATGTGGGGCAGAAGTTTTGTGGTTATAGGAGGGTGGGGGCAGGAGGAAAGAGGAGTGATTGGTGGAATGATGAAGTAAAGGGTGTGATAAAAGAGAAAAAGGTAGCTTATGAGAGGTTTTTACAAAGCAGAAGTGTTATAAGAAGAGCAGAGTATATGGAGAGTAAAAGAAAGGTAAAGAGAGTGGTGAGAGAGTGCAAAAGGAGAGCGGATGATAGAGTGGGAGAGGCACTGTCAAGAAATTTTAATGAAAATAAGAAAAAATTTTGGAGTTAAACAAGTTAAGAAAGCCTAGGGAAAATATGGATTTTTTCAGTTAAAAACAGAGTAGGGGAGTTAGTAGATGGGGAGATGGAGGTATTGGGTAGATGGCGAGAATATTTTGAGGAACTTTTAAATGTTAAGGAAGAAACAGAGGCAGTAATTTCATGCACTGGTCAGGGAGGTATACCATCTTTCAGGAGTGAAGAAGAGCAGAATGTAAGTGTGGGGGAGGTACGTGAGGCATTACGTAAAATGAAAGGGGGAAAAGCAGCTGGAACTGATGGGATCATGACAGAAATGTTAAAAGCAGGGGGGGATATAGTGTTGGAGTGGTTGGTACTTTTGTTTAATAAATGTATGAAAGAGGGGAAGGTACTAGGGGTTGGCAGAGAGTATGTATAGTCCCTTTATATAAAGGGAAAGGGGACAAAAGAGACTGTAAAAATTATAGAGGAATAAGCTTACTGAGTATACCAGGAAAAGTATATGGTAGAGTTATAATTGAAAGAATTAGAGGTAAGACAGAACGTAGAATTGCGGATGAGCAAGGAGGCTTCAGAGTGGGTAGGGGATGTGTAGATCAAGTGTTTACATTGAAGCATATATGTGAACAGTATTTAGATAAAGGTAGGGAAGTTTTTATTTCATTTATGGATTTAGAAAAGGCATATGATAGTGGATAGGGGAGCAATGTGGCAGATGTTGCAAGTTTATGGAATAGGTGGTAAGTTACTAAATGCTGTAAAGAGCTTTTATGAGGATAGTGAGGCTCAGGTTAGGGTGTGTAGAAGAGAGGGAGAATACTTCCTGGTAAAAGTAGGTCTTAGACAGGGATGTGTAATGTCACCATGGTTGTTTAATATATTTATAGATGGGGTTGTAAAAGAAGTGAATGCTAGGGTGTTCGGGAGAGGGGTGGGATTAAATTATGGGGAATCAAATTCAAAATGGGAATTGACACAGTTACTTTTTGCAGATGATACTGTGCTTATGGGAGATTCTAAAGAAAAATTGCAAAGGTTAGTGGATGAGTTTGAGAATGTGTGTAAAGGTAGAAAGTTGAAAGTGAACATAGAAAAGAGTAATGTGATGAGGGTATCAAATGATTTAGATAAAGAAAAATTGGATATCAAATTGGGGAGGAGGAGTATGGAAGAAGTGAATGTTTTCAGATACTTGGGAGTTGACGTGTCGGCGGATGGATTTATGAAGGATGAGGTTAATCATAGAATTGATGAGGGAAAAAAGGTGAGTGGTGCGTTGAGGTATATGTGGAGTCAAAAAACGTTATCTATGGAGGCAAAGAAGGGAATGTATGAAAGTATAGTAGTACCAACACTCTTATATGGATGTGAAGCTTGGGTGGTAAATGCAGCAGCGAGGAGACGGTTGGAGGCAGTGGAGATGTCATGTTTAAGGGCAATGTGTGGTGTAAATATTATGCAGAAAATTCGGAGTGTGGAAATTAGGAGAAGGTGTGGAGTTAATAAAAGCATTAGTCAGAGGGCAGAAGAGGGTTGTTGAGGTGGTTTGGTCATTTAGAGAGAATGGATCAAAGTAGAATGACATGGAAAGCATATAAATCTATAGGGGAAGGAAAGAGGGGTAGGGGTCGTCCTCGAAAGGGTTGGAAAGAGGGGGTAAAGGAGGTTTTGTGGGCGAGGGGCTTGGACTTCCAGCAAGCGTGCATGAGCGTGTTAGATAGGAGTGAATGGAGATGAATGATACTTGGGACCTGACGATCTGTTGGAGTGTGAGCAGGGTAATATTTAGTGAAGGGATTCAGGGAAACCGGTTATTTTCATATAGTCGGACTTGAGTCCTGGAAATGGGAAGTACAATGCCTGCACTGCACTTTAAAGGAGGGGTTTGGAATATTGGCAGTTTGGAGGGATATGTTGTGTATCTTTATACGTATATGCTTCTAAACTGTTGTATTCTGAGCACCTCTGCAAAAGCAGTGATAATGTGTGAGTGTGGTGAAAGTGTTGAATGATGATGAAAGTATTTTCTTTTTGGGGATTTTCTTTCTTTTTTTGGGTCACCCTGCCTCGGTGGGAGACGGCCGACTTGTTGGGGAAAAAAAAAAAAATAAATTGCATTTATAGGTGCAATGGGTAGACAGTGTCTTCAGTAGAAAATGTCATTGGTTGATAAAAGAGAAGTGAATGTTTATAAATTAAATGAAGAGATATGGTAAGATTTGTGCAACTTTTGGGAGAAAGGTGGGCTGGAAAGAGTACAGTGGAACCCCGGTTAACGAACTTTTTTCATTCCAGTAGTATGTTCAGGTGCCAGTACTGACCGAATTTTTTCCCATAAGGAATATTGTGAAGTAGATTAGTCCATTTCAGACCCCCAAACATACACGTACAAACGCACTTACATAAATACACTTACATAATTGGCAGCATTTGGAGGTGATCGTTAAGCGGGGGTCCACTGTATATGCAATGAGGAGGAGGTAGAGAAGGTATGGAGTAAATTCTGAAAGTAGTGTTAGATTGTGCAGCAGAAGTTTGTGGGTATAGTGGATGGGTGCAGAAAAGAAGAGGAGTAATTGGAGGAATAATGAGGTAAAGAGGGTGGAAAAAGTTGGTACATGGTTTTTACAGTGTGAAGAGGCAGGAGTATGCGGAGAGCACAAGGGGTTAAAAGAGTGGTGAGAGAGAGTGCAAAGGAAGAGCTAATGTGAGAATGGGAGAGGTTTTATCAACAAATTTTGCTGAGAATTAGAAAAGGTTTTGGAGTGATATCAGTAAATTGAGAAAATCTAGTGAAGAAATGGATTTACAGATAAGAGCGAATGAGGAAACCTTTAGATGTGGAGTTGGAGGTACTGGAAAGATGGAAGTAATATTTTGAGGAGTTGTTGAATTCTGATGGAGACATTCCCCTCAAGGGAGGTTCCTTGATGCTGGTGAGGGGCTCTTGATCTAGGGAATTGGATCTGTGCTTCAGTTCCTTGAATTGAGTCTGAATACCTTCTATCCCCATCACAGGCACTGTATAATCCCTATGGGTTTAGTGCTCCCCCATGATTATAATGCTGGCAATAATGATAGAGACAGTAATTTCTTGCATTGGGTTTTGAGGTATAGCATGTTATAGGAGTGAGGGAAAGCCAGATGTAAGTGTGGGGTAGGAGCATGAAGCACAAACAACCTACACGAAGGAGAAAGAAGCCTTATGACAGCATTCCGGTCCAACTTGGACAAGTGAGTAGAATGAAAGGGGGTAAAGCTGGGATTGATGGGATTAAGACAGAAATATTAAAGGGGGGGATATAATTTGGAGTGGTTGGTGCATTTGTTCAATATCTACATGATGTAAGGTACCTGACGATTGACAGAGAGCATACATACCATAATTTCTTTGTACCCTCACGTACTTACCTATATGTGGTTGCAGGGGTCAATTCACAGCTCCTGGCCTGCCTCTTTGCTGGCCACTAATAAGTCCACTCTCTCATCGTTTCAAGAGCCTTATCATACCTCATCTTAAAGCTATGTATGGTTTCTGCTTCTACCACTTCACTGTCCAGATTGTTCCACCTCCTGACAACTCTTAAGGCAGAAGAAATATTTCCTAACATCCCTATGACTCATTTAAATTTTCAAGTTCCAGTTGTGCCCTTGTGTCCCATCTCTCAAACATTCTGTCCCTATTCACCTTGTCAGTTCCTCTGACAAGGTTGAATTCCCTGAACTTGTTCAGTGGCCATCACATAGTATTACATCATTAACCCCTTGACTGTCGAAACCCCCAATCCTGAGGTGTCTCCTGGTGT